TATATATATATATATATATATATATATATATATATATATATATATATATCTATACTATAATATATAATATATATATATATATATATATATATATATATATATATATATATATATATATATATATATATATATGTATATATATGTATATATCTAGATATATCTACATTTTTATATAAACGTTTAAAGTATGCATATTTATATGTACAATATACCCACCTTGATTATATACACGTGTGTGTCTTCTACAGACGAATGGACCATACGACTACGTGTGTTTTTAATAGGGCTTGGCTGGGCTGTTGTCTCCCCAAGAAGGAGTAGACTTATTATACATGCTGATATGAATCGCATTCGAATGTGAATATCTATTATTGAATAGTTGCCTGTCGTATAGCTACATATAAATATAATAATATATATTATAATTGGACCGAGGTGAATCTACTGTTCGACAACAATACTTTGAACGAATTATTGTTTTAATCACGACACGTTGATCAGTTGCGAAGCATATGTTGTACAAACTAGTTCTGAGCAAGTTAATCGCCTACTAGAGTATATATCTTCAGTATATGTTTGTGTATCAAATTTTATATGTGTACGATGCTACGATAGCTAAGTGTATATATATAATCAAGAAATTCAAAAAATATTTCGTGCTGCATAAAATGGCTGTAAATATGACCCCCAGGAGGAGGTTTTTAAAAAAAAACAAGTGATCACAGTTAAAAAAATTATTTCTATAAAGCAATGCATCTGTGTTACAATAAGTGTTTGACTATTTACTGTTGTTTTGTTTAAAAAAATAATTATATATATATATATCTTAGTTCTACATATTGTCCCGAGCACAAATATATACAAGCTCCGCAGCCCAGACCCCGGTTAACTGCCGGTCTGCCGCTCCACTGCTCCCCCCAGTCAACCCTCATATGATATTCATTTCGTCTATTTTTAGAAACAATTTCACAGCTCTAATATGTCAATGCCATTGGCTCATGATTGCAATTTCGCTTTAGAAATTCCAAACCCTTCACTTGTTACTCTTCCTCACCAGAATGTGGCATTTTGGATGATCTATTCCCAAAATCATGACTCATAAATTCCTCAAATTTTCTATAAAAACGGGTTGTTTGGGTTTAGGGTTATGTTTGTTTGGATTTTCATTTTTTTTTACGTTGCCTCTGCTTCTCTGGAGCCTGGAGTCTGGAGACTGGAGTAAGTGGACTACCGGAGTCTCCGAGTCTGGGGCTCTGAGTCTGGGCTCTGGCGACTGGTGCAGCCTTTGCCCCGCTCTCAGAAATTGTTTATTTACGCTGTCGAGTGGTCGATAAATAAAATTCATTCTCCGCAGCGGCAGAACGAGATTATTTCTGAGAGAGGTTGTAAACTTTGATTGTTCTATGTGTTTTCACTTTAATTTCAGCCTTTCAGCCTTCAGGTCTCTCTTGGTTCTGTTAGATAGTGATGTAAAACTATCTGACGATTCTGTAGACTGTAGCCGGTTTCCAAAATTAAAAATGTGTCCAAAAATTTGAGAATCCGGCGAGTCGACGGATTCCTATGGGGAGCACTGGCGATAAGAGTGCAGAGAGAGGGGCAGAGGGCCATGGTATGCATAAATATTATATTTATAGCCTTTGCTAAATGAAACAAGGCTATTTTTTTCTTCTACAAAATCACAAACAAACTCGATATATTATTTTTAGTCTAAAAAGAATGCAGTCGGGTATGTATGTAATATTACGAGTCTTCTGTCGAGTGTTGTGCTGTGTGCATATTGCAAATATTTACTAATTTAGGTTGTGGTAGTGTCGTAGCATCCATTGAATTCTGCATTATACGAGTGCATATTCCAGTCGAAACGTTTGATAAGACATAGTCAAATTATGCAAGAATCATGGGTGGCAATATAAGATATAGCACTAGCGAGTTTGAGTTACCCGGTGCCTTGCGCGATATTGCAGCATGTGACGTGCGCGTATGTTTGTTTAGAGCAGCACTGTACAGTTCTAAGTCTGCTACAATCTGCAAGCCACCTGTCATGAGAGAAGAGATGTGGGACAAAAGGAGGACAGATTCGGACTACTTCATTGCGATGGTGTGTAGCGTGAAAAATCTAGATATATCGTATGTATCTTCATTATCGACAATATGAGGGTTTGTTGGAGTGTGTCAAATATACATTTATACAAGTTTATACACACACAAACACGCACACACACATGCACACAAAATACACACACACACACGCACACACACAAAATACACGCACACACACGCACACACACACACACACATTTATAAATATACATATAT